TGCATGTTGCTCTGCGTTGTCATGGTAAACCAGCACTGAAGGCTCACACAGCTAATCTTCTACGTCCTCTTTCTACTTCAAGTTAATTTTTAGAAATAAGCCATGGTAAGTTATTTAGATGAATTTTATATAAAGAGCTAGTAAATCAAGGTAGAGCTATCTTTCTGGTCCAAATATCTACGATTAGCTGGTCTGAGCTAGGCTCATCTCCTAGATTTAAGTGCGTCGAGGATGATCCGCTGAAAGTAGGCTTTGTAGCTTATATTAACCAGTTTAATCTCTTTGCAGCAAAGGTGAACATATTGAGTACAAAAGTAAAATACATTTCCATCAACTAATTGACCTTTTGCTTAATTGTAAATTATCCTAACGCGCGCTTACCGAAAAACGCTATATATTATATAAATTTCCAAGAAAGCTGCCTATCTTTTTTGTATTTTCATTATTTAGAATTCACAAACTAGATAGGAATCTTAAGAGGAAATTCAGCCCTCAAAACTAAAAAATTTAGTTAGCAAATATTTATTTATTTTGTCGTTTTCCATGAGTTGTGCACGATGAAAAATAGTAGAATGTATAGTAATAGAAATACGATTTTAATTTTTAAAAGCGCTATAATTTTTTTAGAATTTCTACGCCTTCTAGAAGCAGTAGTGCTTTAGTTTTCAAGTATGAAAGATTTTCTGTGAAACATCTTTTCTATCTTTTATTCTGTTAACGCTTTTCGGAATGGGTAATCTCTAGAATGCTTTTCTCAAGTGTAATAACTGTAAAGTATAAAAATAACACATCTGGCAATTTGATTTGTGTTGGACACATAACTGAGGGAAACATTGATAGGAATATGTTTACATCAAAGATAGAACCATCAGACAAATAAAACTTTATGTAGAGATAAATTTATTGAAAGCAAATCAATGTTTAGGCTCTTTGCTGCTATGGTAACATAAATGAAAGCATACATAGTTGCATGGAATTTTCGCAGAAGTTTCTCCTCGTTGTTTGGCTAAAATTTTCGAAAAGCTCCGTTCCACCTTTTACTTTCAAATCTTCACCATTTATACACATTTATGCTCCGGGCGTAGTTGTGACATTTAACCTTGCAGTTGCTATCCCGTTTACGTCCTGCAAAGAAGAAGCAGCAAGTGGTTACACGACCGAGAACTGATCAGCAAATTCCAGATCTTGCTGAATTTCTGCTGAAAAGAGACTATGCAGCTGCCATATCTCTGTTAGAGGTAAGTGCTGCACATCACCCAATCCACTAGTATTACTGGATTTAATTGTTTTTAGTTCAAACAAAAGAATGGCGAAAAGAATGAAATCACGGATCTTTGGCTTGGTCACTGTTATTTCAGATCGGGAGACTATAAAAAATCTTTGGACGTAAGAAATTTGCCTTTCAAAGAGCAGCACTTGTTTGCTACTTTTCCTAACATAGTTGCATATTCAGGTGTATGAGGAAATGAGAAATAACGGAAGTGAAAATCCCGATCTGCCAGTTTTTCTTGGCATTTGTTACTTTTACCTGGGAATGTACGAAGATGCAAAGAATGCAGCTGAAAATAGTTAGTGCTGTGATTTTTGTTGAAGTATATTTGCCCCATAATGTTTGAGAACCACAATTACTAAGATGTAACTTTTCCAGCAGAGCGAACTCCACTACAGAACAGATTGCTATTTCACGTGTCGCATAAGCTCGGAGAGGAGAAACGATTAATGGCTCATCATCAGCTTCTTGGGGTAAAACTAGCTTTTCAAAAATAGCAGTTATGCAAAATTTTGCTATCGAAAAAGTTGTTACTTATATTGCTTTGAATTGGGAAAATCTTTGAAATATCGTACATCTGCGTAAATAATTTCGATCTAATGGTTTGATAACTTTGTTTTAGAAGGTATCGAATGGAAAATTGAATAAACATTAATTGGGAGAGAACTTTCTTGGATGTTCTTATCTATTTGACTTTACGGAACAAGTAGATGAAAAAGAGATTTTCAAGCTTTAGAAAACTATGGTATTAAATCTTCGATGATTCAAGAAATTGCTCATGTAAGAAATTAGGTTTTCATAGGTTTATAGATAGGTTTAAGTGAATTAGGTACGGCGAATTCAAGCTCATTTATCAACATTAATGTGAATATGCATTGGCAAGGTAAATTAAAAAACAACAAACCAAAAAGCAAAAATTATAAAAGGAAAAAAATCTATTTAACTTAAAGTCAATCTATGTTTAGAATAAAGTAATTGTTCATGCGTTTTGAAACACTTTGAGACTTAGTTGGTTACTTTTGTTAAAAACTGTCCTTTTGGTTTACATTGGCGGATATTTCTTATCCGAGGCCCCTTT